ATATATATATATATATATATATATATATATATATATATAACCATCTGTTTCTCAGCCTTGGATGTTTCTCAGCCACAGTCTGTTATGGAAATCCAGTTATTTTTAGTGCATTGTATGAAGCAGGTCATCCCATTGAGCTACAATACAGTGTCTCTTTGGGGACACAGTGTATTATATGAACACGGTAATTGTGGGCTGGTTAGTCTGGTCTTAAGAATTATACGAACTCAGCTAATACAGTAATCAGCATCTTTTCCTGAAGCGTAACAACTCACGAAATAGGAATTCAGAATTAGATCCCACGTAACCCAAAGTTTGCTGGGCGACTTTGGACTTTTTGCAGCCCAATTTTGAATATGCTGGTCTGTGATCCTAATAAAGTTTTGATTTGATTGGATGAGTGCTTCGTATGCCACTTTGAGCTCCTGGTGAAAAAACAGAATATATAAATCTGAGAACTCAATAGTAATACAGTTTTTCAAGATATTTGCACGTATGCGTAAAATAAAGGTGCATAATTTCGCATGCAAAATAAATTCTTGACATTCTGAGCAATCACTCAATGGAATCCTACTCTAAAAACCACTCTAATGTTCTGTTCCCCGCCCTTTCTTTCTTTCTTTTTAGTTTTTTTTATACAGAGGGGAAAAGGAGAGTTTTGGAACCTTGGAGTGCTGGAGTTCACTGCCCCACCCCCATCTCCGCTAGCAACACGCTGGGTCAGGGCCCTTCAGACCTGGATTCATTATCATGGTCAGTTCCTAGCCCAACTGAAGTTTTCCTGGCCTTCTTAAGTGTGGCTGCTATGCAGAGACAGGTTGCATATAAGTGGGTAGGATATGGCTTCCAAAAGGGATTTGAGGGAACCTCTCTTAATTACAAGTAGTTTAAGTTTAAGTTTAATAAACTTATATGCTGCCCAATCCCGGAGGACTCTGGGCGGCTTGCATAAAAGAACAATTTAAAAAGTACTAAAAGTTTAAAAAAGTAAAAATTTATTTATTTATTTATTTATTTATTTATTTATTTATTTATTTATTTATTTATTTATTTATTTATTTGTCTTGTATGCCGCCCACTCCCG